CATCGCGAGACACAACAACGATGCGAATGAACTTGGTTGGAAGAGAGTATTACGAACAACTCGCTGCCGTTTATTACGATCCATTGTTCCCTGGTTAAAACGTTCCCGTGGAAATTTCGCCGCAATTAGCTTATTTGTAACTGCTATGTTCGACCTGCAACACTTACGAACGCTTCGACATTCTTCCACGAGAACGTCGAACTCGCAGTTTATAACTCGAGGAATAATTCACAAGTCGTTACACGACTTAAAACATTAAGGAACGTAAACGCGAAGCTTACTAACGGATAGGGCAGGAGAAACGTGTCAAAGGACTTCGGGCCACTCGTTTCCTTTGTGGATCGTTCTAACGGAAAGCAGAATAAGAGAGAGGAAAGCCGTCGTAAAACCATACCAAAGGGCACGTGCAGATCGACGTAGTACCACGGGGATGTCGTGATATCATTTTACGGGATTGCAGGAAGAAGGACTCGCGGGGGTGATCCCTGAGTTCTGTAATAGGATTTTCGGGATCAGAGTTTTACTGGAGGGACCGCGGTATCTTTCAGACACCAAGTAACGCATAACGTGGAATTTTCAACGTCCGCAGATAGGACGCGGCTTTAATTAGCGGAGTGTCCTTACAATTACACCAGCCAGTTTCAGCGAAATCCTGTGTACCCGGGAACTTGAGTTGATAGCATAAAACGGAATAATTAATCTCGTATCGTTAATTCCATAATATCCAACGAAAGAAATCTAGCTGATCCAGATTTAAAGAAACTCTCTCGACTGAGCTATCTCGTTTACGACTAATGCAACGTTGCAGCATTTCCTCCAGTCCTGTCAATCTTAATTTTTTCAAATTACAGACTCGAGAACAGACACTGCCGAATTTGCGCGAAGGGTACTTGGTATGGAAGTACTGAAAATCCACGATTAGCCGAGATATTTGTACACAGTCCGAAAGATATGTCGCGACCGTTTGTACGCTAAGAACGGCCCTAGCCAGCCGCGAAAAGGCGCTCTACGACTTCCGGAAAAAAATACAAAAAAGGGGGAAGGAAGAGAAAAAGATTTCGCCGAAAGGAATTCCGACCTCACCGACGCGTTCAGGACGCCCTTATTGTACAAAGTACTCCCTCGTACCCCTTTTAGGTCCGGCGCGGTGCGTCTACTCTCGAACGATCGAAACGTCGACAGCGAGCTCTTGACATCGTCTCGATTTATTCCTTTTCGTTTTCTGCTCCGGTGCGAGCGGGGAAAACGCGAAAAGAAGCGAGAGTGAGCGGTGAGAGGCGACGTGACAAAATTGTACGATGTCGTTTCCATCACCTCGATCTCGACGACGACGTGACGTTCTCGGACGTGATTCGATAACGACTGTTAAAAAAAAAAAATAGTCTTTGGATAAAACACGTGTTGCCTCGTTTAGAACGGCGACGATGTCGATACGGAGCTCGCTTCGCGTTTCTGTCGACGAGAATGGACGCGCACGCTTACTTTTTACATTTTAGGGACACACGGTTATATATAGGTAGTCCTGTGGGCGAACAAGCGAGCGGAGTGTTCCGAGCCGTGTTCTCACGCGAGGTGAGAAGCGGAAAGTACTTTGCGACTCTAGCTATATAAACCAAAGACTCTCGAGAGCGAGATAGAGAGGAGGAGATTGTCGTAGCGTATGATGTCCGTGCAAGCTTACTAGTGCCGCCGTGCTTTTTCGTTGAATTCGTTTCGTCGCTCGTACCTATCGGACGATTTGTATGAAAGTCATCGACGTGAGTCATCGGCGATTCGCCGTGTCGGTCGGTATCGCGCGACGTCAAAGCGAGCGAGTTTCGATTTCGTCGCAGCGAGAATTCCCGCGAATGAAAGCTGCGCGAACGGCATTTAGAGTGAGATCTCACGTTGTGTGAAAATATTATTTCTACATATATAAAGTTCCACATCTCATTTCCTCCACCTGTATCATATTTCTCTATAACGAGATATTAAATTCATTAAATATCATCATAACACTTTCTAGTAATATGCATAGAAATATAACGATACCAAAAGATCCATAAAAGAACAAAATGATTTTCTTCGGTTGTTTTTTTTCTTTTTTCTCTCCTTTTTTTCTTTGAATCAAAGTTATACAACGGATCGTATAGAGAGAAAATGTATATTATATCAATAGACAAAATATTTTACCCCACACACGTCGATGTTTAGCCGACGTGGCTTTGAACATTTTTTGATCTGTCCGCTTAATATGTCACGACTCGGCGTACTTGACGCTAAATTGCGCGATTACCGGGACGAGGCGGCGAGTCTACGAATAGCGAACAAAGAAAGAATGTATTTTATGATATTTTACGCATAACAAACAAACGATCGTGAGAATCGATAGAGTTAGTCCAAGGTAAACTTAAGTAGAAGTGTATAAAATGACAATTCGCGCGCGCGCGCGCGCGTGCGTTCTCTTTCTTGCGGGACACTACGATCGAGCGCGATTTACACATAAGAAGAATCGATCTTCGGTCCACAAAGTGAATGGGACCGCGGAATGGTGATTAGGCATCCATACGTCCATCGTATCAGCGATTGCTTAATTAACAATGGACGGTACTTTATCGATTACGCGACCGACATTAGAGATAGAAGAAGGAGAGAGAGAGAGAGAGAGAAGGAGAGCGAGAGACAGCACTTCACCAAATATGGTGCTCGATTCCTCCTACCCTCTTACGCTCGATCGAAATTGCGGATCGGACAAATACGGCGCACTTTCCGAATACAATCGCATCGTGACGATACGATCAAGCGACTCGACCTCGACGGCGCTTCCTCGCGCAACTTCTGACAATTGTTGCAGATCACCGTTTCGCGGGAGAACTCCCAATCACTGGTATACTAAGCGCTACTGTAAAATATTGTATATTATTTCGCGTTGTTTATTTTTCAATGTTTTTACTAGAGACGCGTTTTTACGATATTTACGGAGAAATGTCGCGTAATGTTACTAAACACGCGTGACCCGTGCTGCTCCGTTACACCGTGCAAGTTGCGACAAAAAGGAAACCCGAATACCGTCGCTCACCGAGTCGAAAATAATTACGGGAGAGCAGTATAACATACGAAAAAAAGAAAAATAAAAAATATTGTAGCGCGAATAATTTATACTCTATATTCGAACGAGAGAACTTACTGTTGGTATTACTATATCGAGATAAAATATTCAAATATGACGTTTTACCTTTATCCAAGTCTTTTTCCGATAATTAAAAAAAAATGAATTCGGAAGCATTGTTATTATTATCAGATTTCATACTCATCTCTCATCTATTTAATCCGCGCTCGAATTAATCTCGATCACTATAAATTTCACTTGTTAAAAGATTAGTGAAAAAACTATAGATTATAGTTATTATGTAGTGTTGAATTTAATACTCGGTTTAAGTGTCCATCAGTCCTATAAAGAGCGATATTCTCTCTCTGTTACTTCCTATAGACACATCTTTTTTCCACCGGTTTCTATAACAATGATCCCTTCCCCTCCCCTTTCACTAATTTACGCCGGGACTTTAAACAATTCACGAACCGGCAAACTCCATTACGGTTACTGTCCGACGTGTCGCTCTCTCACGGTATTGCGGAGCAGTGGGATAAGTACGTTTGTAAAACTACAACGTATCTCCAGCAGCTTTCGCAGTGTGTGAGCTAAAAGCGAATTCGGAGCAAAACTAGTCTAGGGCACATTTAAGAGCGTATGGCTTGGATGCGAAGAATTATTACGAGTGTAACGTCCGTCGTTCGGCGTAAACAACGTGCTTTTGAGGAGGAAGAGAATATTTCGGGTATAGAAAATCTTATGAACGTTTGATTGTTCAAATAAACGTGGCGCATCAACAATTAAATTGCCTCTCTTAGATAAAATTCCACGAATATTATTCCCCAAACATTCCTGACGTTACTGAATGTCATCTTTGAGTTGTAACATTAATCAAAGAAAAAAAAGAAAGAACATATTTTGATTACTAAGGAATGTCACTGCAACTGTTGGAGTGAATTGTGGAGAATTGAAATATTCGTTGAAATTTCGGAAATGTAATATATTTGTTGAAATAAATCTCGCGGAAACGCGTGGAATATTCGTTAATGTAATTCGCGAAAATATAGAATACTTGTTAAATCTCGGAAACGGCGAGTCTTTGTAAAAATGAATCGTGAAAATTTTTGGAACGTTTGTAAAAGTGCATCGGAAGCCTAAAGTGTCTGTTGCAGTCTCGAGTGCTCGAAAGCGTCGTTTCTCAAAAGCATCGGATGTCTCGGAAATGAAAAATCAGGCGGACGAATCAACGCGCATGGAACGTACGTTTGTGCGTTCAGCGATAGTCTTATAGTAAAGAGACTACGCACTGTGAAACTAATATGGCTAATTCTAGCAGCACGAAGTATTAACGTTAATAGCGAAATTACTGTAAGAGAGACGTAACGGCGAATTACTAATAAAACATAGATCACCAACGGTACTTCCCGAAATGATTATATTTCGGCAAGTGACCGAAATGTGCTCGGAGAAATGACGGATATAAATGAAGAAAAGCAATTATTCTGTATTCCGATAATCGACAGGTCTTTGAGAAATTTATTACAGCAGCATTAATTCACATTTATGACAATCGCCTAACAAACAGTACGCAACAAAAACTTTACATCCATGCTTTCAAAATATTGAATTCTTCCCCTTGCATTGAGAAGCAAATTTCTACTATTGTATTAATTTCTAGTATGCGCTACTATTTTTAATTATAAGAAAAATGGAAAAAACGGAAATATAAATATATAATTACTGAAAAATTGATGCGAAGACAAAAAATTTACAAAGTATTTATATGATCAAAATATATATAAAGATTCATAAAAAAACAGTCTTCAAAGCATATGCCGATTATTCAAAGAGAAACAAACAAACGCCTCTATTCATTTAGATTTGTCATTTAATCGAGTTATTGGGCATCGCGGACAAAGAATAGCGTACATAAGGTACAAGATGATTTTTATTATCATCTTTCGTTCGTATACCCCATCGAATGAGGCAGATTATGACTGGATACGTTACATTAATCATTCGGGCTCACAGGTATATTTGTAAAATACGTCTCGTTTAAATTGAAAGAGCGTAGTGCTCGATTACGTTTTAGATTATGCGCGACCCGGATGTTTCGGAACGGCACGCAAAGTTTGTTAGGAAACGAATGAGATCGAGTATCGGTATCAATATCGAAAATTCATGTGAGAAGCTTCACGCTGGAAAATACTAACCGATCACCATGAGGAGTCGGCGAGCGAAAATACTTTATTCTAGTCGTATCTTTCATGCTTTGCCAAGTAACCTAATGTAACTCCTGTGTTAAGTGTAACGGTCAATTATGTTTTAATAAAATCTGCCAAGATTCTTGTCAGTGTCATGTGCCCTTTCTTACTGTAATTCTCATATGATTATTAGTATCGTGTACCTTATCCTTTACCCTGTTTCTTTTTTCTCTCCACACCGTTATTCTTATTAACAGAATTGATAGAGATACAAAGGGATTCAAGATTACAAAACTGATTTTTAAGAAACATACATATAATGATGAATTTAAATTTAATAGACATTTAAGTATTGTCATCGCCCTATCATAAAATAATTAAGATACGAGTCTTTTTTTATATCAATTATAACCATTTTTGACTCATATTGTTATTAGTTATTGTTGTCCACTATTGTTGACAACTGTCATTCATTAATGTACAATATGACCTACAATAATATTCCCTTTTTTTTGAACATCCTATGTATAGCTGACAAAGAGAGATCGTTCCTCTTTTTTTTTAAAAATATTCGTATAAACATTTCAAAGATACTTGCACACATGTTGTTACACCTTGGGTAAAAAATATTACAGATATTGTACGGAAGTATCACCATGCGATTCGTTCATCAATTCATATAGAACAGCCGTTAATAATTAGTCTTTGGTAGAGGTGTTCAACACATGCCCAGATAAAGTGCAAAGTGAAATTTGAATAATCATTGTATGTGAAGAAAAAAGGAAATGACTTTCTAAGTATTTTTGTAACTCACTATAGTTTCCATCTTATGTATGGAGGTTGAAAACGATCTAAGCTGTACTTCTTGACTATTTGCGATGAAAACTGGTTGAGTCTCGTCCCATTTATTAGGAATATTGCAGTCAGGTACAGTGTACGTAAGTATATCGAAGGAACACTGACAATCCAAGAGGGGTAGAAAACTTACCGTACCTACAAGAACATCCAACGTTATCAGCATATAATAAAAAAGAGATTTTGCTTAAGATCTTGATGCAATTTGGTCCTACCTGTGATCTGACGTATCACTTCTCGTATCTCCTTCTGTATAGTTTTTGCATCCTTTGTTCCTACTTCAGGCAAATCAGCCTTAGTATTGCTGTCAACTCCATTTGGCTTTTGGCCTTCATATTCGACCTTGAAGTCCCATTTTTCCAACACCTCTTTTGTATTGACATTTGTAATGACAAGAACAATTTTCTGTACTTTGCGCTGCATCAACCATTCTTGAATCTGTCCCAGAACGGTGTCTAAGAAAGTTGTAATCTTGTCGTCCGTGGACATGAAGATAAACAGTCCGAAATGCTCGGCAGGTTGAAACATCTCCGGCGGATATATTCCTCTTTGATAGAGTATACTGTTGACTCCATACTCTGTAACGAAATGATCGAGATTCGAGTATCTCGTACCGTGGACAATTAACGAGGTTATACTTACGAAGGTATTGCTTAACCAATTCAGCGGAACCTTTCAAAGTGATACATTTTGCTCTTTGCTGTGTCTCCGTCATAATTTAGGAAAATTCCAGCACGAAAGGACCACGACTCGATGCCGAATTGCAAAGAAATGGCTACTGCGATCAAACGGTTGTTGTACAATTAAATTTGACCAATCACGTACAAGCGCGCCAAACGACCGTTACTGCACGATCGAAAATATCACGTGATCCTCATGCTGCGTTCGGAAACATTGAGGGTAAATTAGTAATTAAATTAAACAATCGTGATAAAGACATTTTGATTCTTTTTGTCTTGATTGGTCAATGTTATACAACTGATGTTTCTGAACGTAACCCCAATTGGAGAGCGTATGTGATTGAAATATTTGTGGTCTGTTTTTTATAGCAGAACTGGCTGCACTAGTTAAAAAAATTTACGCACCTGAAGCGTGAGAATGTTATATGTACTCTTCATGTGTGTAAATTTTTTGAACTAGGTAGCTAAAAAGACCAATAGGATACACTAAGGGCGAAGTCCCAGAGTATCGCGCCCATATAAATAATCTGACCAATCGCTTCTTGCCGCACAGCAAGCATTTCCGCGTCCTGTGAGCAAAAGTTATTACGCTCTATAGAACCGAAACTTTCCGTATCGATAGTAGAGGAACGTCCGCAATTGGTCAGATTTTCGATACGGCCTAAGGTCGCTTTCCAGCAAGAGACATAATAGCGTTTTCGATTTGTTAACCCGACTCGGATAGCGTTCCGATTATCTTTGCAATACTGCAATCTATATAGTTCATGTTACATATATTATAATTTGTAATATTAGGTCTGTTTTTTTTTTCGCTACACTAAAACTGCACTAGAACTGCATTTAACTGAACTGATGCCGCACTGGGAAAAACTAGTACAGAATAGTTCAGTTTAGTGCAAAAGTGCAATGAAGAGGTCTGTTCGTTTTTGCCGCACCGTTGAAACGCTAGAGTGTAGTAAACAACATGGCGCATCACATGGCATTATTTGATTCTTCTGTAATATTAACAATTTTTGAAAATGAAATAAAAAGATGTTTCACACATTTCAATATAATGCAAGCCACATATCTGATAGAGACTTTTCGTATAAATTTCCGTTACGCTTACATGCACTTCCACGTTACACTTTCATGAACTGCACTGACCACACTCTGACTCAGTGCAACAGTTCACTGAACTGCCTGCACTACAAGCTGTTGCACTGCGAAAACGAACAGCGTTGATGACGTCATTCTCGATAAAAAGAACGCTTTAGTGTAAACTCCTCGCACTGATGTGCACTAGTGCAGAAAGTGTTTCGAAAAAAAACAGACCTATTGTTGCAAATGGCGAAATATCGTCCGAATCGAGCATTGGTGCATTTTTAGAAATTATTAGATTGGTGCACCAATCAGAACGCAATACGATGACCCCGGGTCGAGTGTACAAATCGAAAACGCCAAGAGAGAGAGTTTCGGGACGCAGCCATAACATAACCTTTAATGACCGAAGTAATCAACATATAGCAGCTAACAGTAATTTTTCAATTTACAAGACGGTTAACTTTGTTTACCTCGCAAGCAGTTCATTTTATTTATAATTGCAAACATCGTATTTGAATTTTATGGAGAATGGAAGAGATGGACATTGAAAACGAAAAAGGAGATTCTCGAGAAGACGAAATCGATGAAATGTCTGATAGTGAAACAGACGAGCAAATGGACATAAAAGTCAACAATAAGAGTGAGTCCAACAGCAGTGACGACAACGACGAAAATGACGATGACGAGGATGCCAATGAGGCGGAAGTGAAATCTTTGGAGACTAATCTAGCGAAAAATTTATATGATTACGGTAGCCATGTAGCCCTGATCAACAAACTGCAGAAGATGGGTGAACTGGAGCGCTTGCGAACTGCTAGAGAGAATATGAGCACCGTGTATCCATTAAGTCCTGAGCTCTGGCTGTCTTGGATACAAGATGAAATAAGTTGTGCAACTACAGCTGAACAGAAAGAGAATATAGTCAAATTATGCGAGCGAGCTGTCAAAGATTATCTCTGTAAGCCTGTTTTATATTGAGGGTACCGCAAATTTGAGATTACTTTGAGAAATTAATCTGCCTTTTTTTTTTATTATGACAAATACCTCATAAATTTCTGATATAGTAATATATATTTTCAGCTGTAGAAGTATGGCTAGAATATTTGCAATTCAGCATTGGAAACATGTCTACAGAAGAAGGTAGAGTTAAGGATATTCGTCAACTTTTTGAACGTGCATTAACTACCGTTGCACTGCATACTGTCAAAGGAGCAATTATATGGGAAGCATTCCGAGAATTTGAAAATGTTCTACTGACATTGGTAAGAATTTCAAGTAAATATACAAGTAGAGAGAGTTTTCTAACTTGAACAGTTTTTGAAATATATACAAAAATGAAAAAAGAGAAAGAAAAATTTCTAAAAAGTAAAAAATGACGAAGTTGAAAAATAATTATATCTATCTTACCATTATATTCCTCTACATACCAAAGTTTTATTCCTTATATCTTAGTAATATAATATTGATTTTAATAATATGAGCTATCAATAATATGTACAAAATATTTTTCTTCTTTCATTAATCATGTATTAGTTGCAATATTTTTCACTCATGAATGGTCGCAATGTATCTCACACTAATTTTTCCATTATTTTCCTCCGCTTCTTGAGACAATTTTCCTTTCATTAGCACCTAATTAATAGATGTAGGTACTAAAGTATATAAAAGAATAAATAATAAAAAGAGAACGTACGTAAAGTGTATCTATTGGATACATTTGCAACTAACGAAGGATTAATTTAATTGCATTGAAATTTGTATGTTTAGATTAATGCTGAAAATATAGCAGAAAAGAAGGAGCAATTGGGGCGCATTGGCAATTTATTTCGACGGCAATTGGCTTGTCCTCTTTTAGACATGAATAAGACATATGAGGAATACGAATTGTGGCGTGCAAGAGATGGTGCTGAAGCAATTATAGATGAGAGTATTGTTTCAAGAGGTTACAAACAAGCTACCGCAAAATTAAACTCCCTTTTTATTTATGAGGAGAAACTTACCTCTGCACAAGGCGAAAACGAACTACTTGATGCGTACAAAGGATACTTACTATATGAGAAACAGCAGGACGATCCAGGACGTATTACAGTTCTGTACGAAAGAGCCATAACCGATTTGAGTTTAGATGTGTCAATTTGGTTAGACTATCTCACTTATCTAGAGGATAAGATCAAGATCGAACATGTATTGGATGAGGTTTATCAAAGAGCATCGAGGAATATTCCATGGTGCTCGAAGGTTTGGCAAAAATGGATAAGATCGTATGAGAGATGGAAGAGGCCTGTACTGAAAGTACAAGAATTATTAGAAAACGCCTTGACTGCTGGCTTCCCGACGGCGGAAGATTATCGAAATTTGTGGATTGCATATCTCGAGTATCTGCGACGCAGGTATGAAGTAGTTGCTGAGGAGGAAGATAAACGTCTGGACGTCCTCCTTGACACATTTAATAGAGCATGCGACTATATGGCTCGATGTTTCGGATTGGATGGTGATCCTAATTGCGTTATCCTGCAATATTGGGCAAGAACCGAAGGGATACATGCGAATAATATGGAGAGAGCCAGAGTATTGTGGGCTGACATCCTTTCGCAAGGACATTCTACGAAAGCGTCCTATTGGCTGGAATATATAGCGCTAGAAAGGTAATTACTGGCAAAATAACGGACTTTGCTTTTAATATAATCCTGTTTAATTTGCTTACAGATGCTGCGGCGATACGAAACATTTGAGAAAATTATATTCCAAAGCGTTGGCTTCGGTAAAAGACTGGCCGGAAAGTATAGTGAATTCGTGGATAGACTTCGAGCGTGACGAAGGTAATTTAGAGCAGATGGAAATTTGTGAGGGAAAAACGAGAGAGAGGCTTGAGAAAATTGCAGAAGAAAGGCAGAATATCCAGGAAGTTGAAAGCGAATCGTCTACGCAGAATAAGAAAGCGAACAAACGAAAATCAGATGACACTGGTAAATGGAAAAACTTAAGCTGTTCTCAGTCAAAGATCATAAGAACCGATAAAATACAAGTGAAGCCGAAGTTACGAGACGTCGATCGTTTGAGTATTACAGCAAATAATAATGAAACAGAATCGAAACTTGTACTGTCGCCTGCTCCTAAAGCGACAGAGGATAAAGATGTAGATGCAAATAATCTAAAAGAAGTGGACAGTAATATCACAGTTTTCGTCAGTAATTTGGATTACACAGCGACTGAAGAAGAAGTGAGGAATGCCATGAAACCAGCCGGGTCAATAACATTATTCAAGATGATCAAAGATTACAAGGGGCGTAGCAAAGGATACTGTTACGTACAATTAAGCAGCGCGGTGCGTATTATTTTTTCGACTGATGAGAAGATGAATGAGTGAAATAAAAGAATCTTCATTTTACAGGAAGCCGTGGAAATAGCTTTAAAGTTGGATAGGACCGTGATAAGAGGGCGTCCTATGTTTGTGTCAAGATGCAATCCTAACAAAACTACCAGAAGTTCTGGATTTAAATACAGCTCTACACTCGAAAAGAATAAACTGTTTGTTAAAGGTATGAAATTTTTGACGAGTTTATCACGCGTATCATTTATTTGTGCAACTATTTCAGTTATATGTGTTTGATTTTCCTCTCTTATTTAAAAGAAAACACATCTTTCTACGTCCTACGTATCAGGGTTAGATAGTAACTAGTTCAAAGTTTTAATTTTAAAAGGTTAATTTATAGGAAATTAGTTAAATAACAATTAACTTACCCAATCTTGATACATATAATATCATTATTTTGCAGGATTACCGGTTACAACAACAAAGGAGGAGCTTGAAGAGATATTTAAGATTCACGGACCTTTGAAAGAAGCTCGTCTAGTTACTTACCGTAACGGTCATTCGAAAGGTTTGGCTTACGTTGAGTATTATGACGAAGCAACCGCTGCAAAAGCCCTTTTAGGTACCGACGGCATGCAAATTCATGACAGAATAATCAATGTCGCTATAAGTCAGCCGCCTGATCGTAAACAGACTCAAATTGCGCAAGACAACGATGGACAGATCAAGTCGTTAGGTGGAACAACAACTAGCCGTACAATGTTCGGCGTACCCAAGACTTTATTGTCCATGGTACCTCGTAATGTTAAGACTAGTAATAATGATAATAATAGTACTAATGAGAGTGCAAATCTGGCTGGAAACAGAGTCTCACAGTTAATGAGTAATCAAGATTTCAGAAATATGTTACTTAATAAAAAATAAGGTATACGTTACATACACGACATCTTGATTTACTACTTATTGCATTCATTCAACAAATATAAAGAAATATGTATAAAATAAATTCGTTAAATATAATATGAATTGATATGTATATAAAAGAATATACCTGCTATAGGAATGAAAATGTTACGGCTCCACAATGGTTGTCGCGACTATGGGTACATGTTCTCATATTCAATACTGGCAGTACTGCGAATGTCGTTCCCATATAAGCTTTTAACACGCTGTCGTGTTTATATGACATGGATTTTGTCGCCACTTCCTGCCTTCGCCACCGCGAGGTGGGGCAGTAGAAAGATAGCGACGTCCGCAGAAGAAGTGTGCCTTAGATGTAGAAGAAAATCAAGAATATAAAAGTCGGTATTCATAGGGCAGGTTCCGCTCTTTACGCGTTAATGCGCATATAGTTAGATCTTATATTTAAGACCATCTTAAGTTTATCTTCAGACAGCTCATTTCATTGGTCACGAAGCATCTGAAGAGAAACTTAATCTTAAATATAAGGTCCGACTATGAATACCGATCAAAGTAATATTAAGCAGTGAAGATTCAAAAAGTTTTTAGATCCATCGTTGACGTTTTAAAAAATATTTAACCCTCCACTTGCGAGTGTAAATTATTTGTTAATATTCTCCCCTTAACATACGTTGCAATTGATGGAATATTATGTTGCACGCACAAAAATAATATTGCATAGGTATTCATAATCGGGTTTTATATAATTAAGATCTTAAATTCATTCTCAGATGTCTCGTGGCCAATGAAATGAGCCGTACAGCATTCGAAGATAAACGATTTTAAAAATGATTGGCTAATTTAATATAAAATTTTCTAATTGATGGTCCAGAGCGGAAGTGAGTGGATATATGTCATCGTAGGACCCTCTCGGTTTCCTGCTTTTGCCGCGGATTTGTTCAAAGCAACGAAACGACCTGCGGTCGGTAAAATATATTTTCGCCGGAAATACGTCACCTCGTGAAAAAGTTTTAACCAATAACAGCGAACTGCTGCACATGAAATGGTACCTTTAAAAGTTGGGCAACTTTCCTTTAGCAACCGTCTATTACAAGTAAAAATGCATTTTATAACTGCCATCCTTCGCGACGGCGTGTTTGCGACGCATTAGAGAATTTTAGTACTGCGAATCTTACGTTACTTATTTAAAGATTTGATATGCTAACACCGGAACGCACATTAGCGTTTACTACCTGGAAGACGGTATTGCAAAAAGTCCCCATTGTAGAATGGCCCAGTCGCGAAGGATGGCAATTGGAAAATGCATTTTCGACTGCAATAGATACGTTTACCGACAATTGACAAAACTAGGGAATGTATCGTTGGTATAGCAAAAAAGCGATAAGTACTGATCCGATAGTTGTCGCACCCCTGCAAATGGCAGACTTCCGGTGAATTCGCTCCACTCTTCCTTGATTCGATGCAGCGCTACGAAACTACATAACCTCGGAATCATAATAATAACAACAAACGCGTCGTGACTGACTTTTGTTATCAAATATTGCGAAGTCACATTCGGTTTCACGTAGCTTCGCGCACTATTGTAATGTGGGAGATGTTAATTTATTCGAACTGATTTAGCAGAATGGGCGACATACGAGCTGGTCTTGAAGAATTAAAGCTGGACGGTGCTCTCTTTGCCAATGTTAAATACTACGTCAGCGGCGAAGGCGATCCCAAGGTATAATGTTTCCCGTCTTACAATTAATCGGGTAGTCACAAACTTATTATTTTACCGACCATGCGAATTATCGAAACATTTATCGAACACGATTCTTTCTCATTCGTTTGTGTTGTGCCAACAATGTACTGCTCTGTTGCTGGAAAGTTATGGTATACTAATTGATATAATTATCACTATCTACCTTTATTTTTCTTTTATACTCTGTCAAAAGACTGTACCGGAAAGTAACTTAAAAAGACTCTTCACTTATTTTTATTGTAATAACTTTTCCAAAATACATAAAATTACAGCGTATTCCTATGCTAGATATTAAAACTTTTATTTTGCATGCATATAAAATTATGAATTATCATTTTCAGATTATCAGTAACTCTGTTCTAGTATTTGAAGCATTTTCCCTTCCTGCTATGGTCATTCATTATAAACAATACTTTTGAATATTACAGATTGTGAGTTTACTACAAGAAGGTGGTGCTGAAAATTCTAATTATTTTAGCGACTATGTAACACACCTGATAGCAGGCTATGAAGCATTAGAAAATGATATTTCTGCAGCAAAGGATCTATATGAAATCCCGGCAGTTACACAAAATTGGATCTTATATTCAGTCAAATGCAATAAGCTTTTGCCGTATCCTTTTCATTATTTTTTATTCATCTCTTTTATATATATTATTCACTAATACTTGTATTTATCTTAATATATTTATTTTCATGCAATACATATTTCTTTAATGTTGCTGAACAGAACACAATATTTCTCACCAGAGGAGAATCAATTATTCTCAAATATACGTGTCTGCATATCCCAGGTAAGTCGAGCAGACAGTAAGTCGCTCTGGGCAATGATAACATTGCAAGGTGGCAAATGTCAACTACGCTTGGATAGATATTGCACTCATCTGATCACTGGCAAAGCAAGTGGTATTAAATATGAAACTGCCATGAGACACCATATACATATCGTAACACCCGATTGGATAACGGAATGCTGCAAGAAAGGTGCTATCATTAGCGAGATGGAGTATCATCCCAGGTTGTTAGTATATCCATCTCCGAATAGTTCGACAGCCATGATTACCGGATTTATGGATGAAGATCCAGATAACAGTACCGCGCAGGAGGACAGAACTAAAGCTATGCTGGAACAACTTAAGCAACGTATGCCATGGAATCAACCAAGCCCACCGGTGTCATCGAGCGCGGTGCACAATCTTGGCGCAACTAACACAGCGAGTGTTCCTTATTCAACAACTGGACAAAATACTGTAAATATTCAGCCACAACAACAGCAGCAGCAGCATCTTCCACGATCGATTTCCTCGACCAGTTTAAACGCTTCCGCAATCGTTCCAGCAGTTTCCGATCAGAATGTTATCAATCAGACATCAAGTTGGCTTCCACAAGCGTCCCAACAAAACAATCTTTCTCAAATGAAAGCTATGCCATCGCAAATGCAACAAGAGCTGTCTACACAACAGATAAATATTCAACATCAATTGATACAACACCAGCACTTAACATCGCAGCAATTAACACAACAACAAATAACGCAGCATCAGTTGCAACAGCAATCATACAACCAACAGCTTCTAAGTCAGCAGACGCCATCTCAAGTACCGTCTCAACAATTGATTGGACAACAGCAATCAATGATTGCGCAACAACAGATCAATTCACAATTACCGCAACACCAGCTGACTTCGCAACAACAGCAATTATTAACATCCCAACAGAAACAATTGAATCAACATCAAATCATTCAGCAACAACAAATGAATCAGCAGCAGTTGGCGCAACAACCGCATTTGGCGCAACAACAGCAGCAAGTGCAATTAGCGGCTCAGCAACAGCAGCAACAGATAGTGCTTCAACAACAACTATCCTCTCAGTCGCAACAAATCTCAGGTCAACACCAATTGGCCCAACAACCAGCTCCACCGCAGCAACTTACTCCCGAACAAAGACAGCTGATATTATTGCAACAGCAGCAGCAGCAGCAGAAAATACAACAGATCTCACAGCAATTGCAACAATCCGCGCCACAAAGTTCCCAACAGTTCGTCATACGAGAAGGTCAGTTGCAACAACAATCACCGAGCCAATCATTAATTGGGCCGAATCAGCAAGGATTCATTGTGCAACGAGACCCGCAGTGGCAGCAGCAGCAGTATATGCAGCTGCAGAGGCAGCAACAGCAACAACAGCAAATTGGCCCGCAAAGACCTGGAGGACAGTGGCCAGCACTAAGAACCATCCGTGAAGATCAACAGCCGCCTCAACAACCCAGACAGTTGATTCAGCTAGATGCGCAGACGCACCAACAACTACAACAGATGGATCCATTGCAGCGAGCGCAGTTTATCCAGAAGATTCAGAAACAAAAGAATCTGATATTGCAGAGACAGATGCAAAACCGTCAGCAAGCTCCCCATATTGCCGTCATAAGGAGTCCTGGTAAACCGGTACAACCTAGCAGCTTGCAATGGGTTCAACGGCCACAAATGATGGGGCCGCAAATCGCGCAGACCCCTGGCCAGAAACCTGTGCATCCCGGCGTTCAACCGCCAGCATTGGCGCCAATCAATTCCTCCAATCAGGTGATCGTGCCCGCTGGACAGAACGTTCCGCAAGCAGGACAGACATTCCAACAGGGACAGCCTTTGACACCTCAGCAGATTCTACATATGCAGAAGCAGCAGATGGCTCGATTGCAATTTCAACATTTGCAGCAGCAGCAGCAGCAACAGCAGCAGCAACAAGGTGCGCAGCAAGAGCCACCGTTAACGCCGTTGTCGGGTAACGCGCAGATACCGCCTGATCAGCAGTTGGTTGTGAACGCCAAGACCAAAACCGCGCTAGCCAATATGTTGACCAACAGATTGCAAGGCAGCACTACGGAGGGTAGCGCGGCGGGTCAGTTGAGACTGATGACCGCCCAGCACAGAGCTCCACCTCCTCCCTCGCAGGATCCGCAGCTTTTGGCCGCGTATCAGAGGAGAACTGCGGTAAATGTAACAAACGGTGCACCGTCGTCGGGGACACCTATAAAGATGCAATACGGACCGGTTATGCAGCAGCCCAAAGCACAATTCTACGGCCATAATCCAAACTTGAAATGTACGCCCTTTAATCTAACAAGTTATTTGATAACTCGTTACATCTGTTATTGATCATACAAGATGTACGTCCGCTCGTAGAACGCAGGTAGAATTTGTCATATTGAATAAGAAAGTTGTTCATTTTGCAAACAATGATCACTATTGAGATACTAGTTGAAAAGAACTAGCGAATTAGTGAGTGCGGTAGTACGAGCTGTGTAGGACAACGGTTTGACGAAACTTTGACGTGTCTTCTAACAATGATGAATTCTCGGACTATCCCACAGAGCATCGCGTCACTTATTTTTCTTTAATCACAATTAAAATTGAGATATTTTTTTAATTATTTTCTCAACAATTGTGGTTATTTGTAAAATGGCGAAGGACCTTTGTCCAACTTTCTACCTGTGCATTAGCATTTTATCAGACACAAGGTGTCCGATAATCATATCGCGTACGTAGAACGAACACAAAATTCGCAATAGTTAGTGAGGAATATATATTTATTTCAATGACTTATTATCTATATATGATATCTTTATTTTCAGTGCCGCCGGATCTGTTTTTGTTAGGATGTATTTTCGTCATTGTCGAGTACGATGTACAGCGGCCGAATGAAGTTTCAATTTGGAAGCAAGTTATCGAAAGACACGGCGGTGAAGTGGAGCCGCAATATTGTTGCCGTGCGACCCACGTTTTAGCTATCACGCAGAAACATCCGATTGTGGTGCAAGCATTGCGCGAGGACAAACGTTGCGTCAGCGCGCACTGGCTTTCCGACGTTGTTAGTAAGCTGCAATTGTTACCGCCGTGGCACGCCTTACACTTCCCGACGCCTTTTGGCTTGTCTGAGCTTCCATGTGTTAAACAAATCGTATCATTGTCCGGATTTGAGGGAGAGGAACGGGCGAAAGTCAAATACATGTTAGAGGCCTTAGGTGCAAAATATACCAACTATTTTTCCAGGCACAACACCCTACTCGTTTGCAGGAGGTACGTGTCTTATCATACGTTTTAAATATACTTTTGATGCGACCGAATAATTAACAAATTCCAACCAATCACGTTCTTTTTTTTCCAACTCTTCGTATAATAGTACACTGTTTTATTAATCTATAGTTGGATCGTATAATATTATGAAACGATTATATAGTAGAAATTAATTCAGGCCAGACGGACAAAAATACAAAAAGGCGCGCGAGTGGCAAACAAGCGTGGTAAATGCACAGTGGCTGACAGATCTGCTTTGTGGACAAATGAATGCTTTGCATCAGCTCGAAGGTCCAAAGTACCAACAGTTTAGTCTCAGTAATCCTTTCAGACTAGATTATTCACTAGTGCCTCATCTCATGGGTATATCAAACATCTCTTACATACTAATTAGATTATTATAAAAGTCGGAAATACAAAATGAAATTATTTTCTATGTAATTTGTCTTTTTTGCAGGTGCTTGGAAACATCCAATAAATATTAACCAAGAGTCATATGATAAAGTACAACAGGTTGGTCAGGGCCCAAATTCGATCAGGAAATATAAAAAGCCGCGATTAGATGGTCCACTGTTGAATAAAGACCCGCATCTCTTGAATGTGAATGAACAGGTTATTATTAGCAATCCTGATCCTCCGCCACCAGATAAGCAACCAAGAATATTATTCTCCGGCATTAATCCTAGAAAGCATGCAAAGGTGCTAATTTTATACTTTATTTGTAGCAATCTAAAAGCTTTAATATCGCTCGCACGCTTTGTAATTCCACAATGAATCCTTTCGATATTTCTAGAGGATTTTAGAACTGGGAGGTACTTTGGCCGCTGGTTGGCGAGACGCCACTCATCTTGTGATGTCGGCACCGTTACGAACAGTTAAACTATTGTGTTGCTTGTCACGATGTAAATTTATTGTCACTCTGCAGTGGTTGCTCGATTGCTCCGCAAGAAACACTTTCCTGGACGAAAGCCCATATGTGCTTGGCGATCCAGAATTCGAGAAGAACTTTCATTGCAATATTGAAAAAGCTTTAGCGAGTCCCAATCGAGGAACAGTACTTAAGGTAATGAATACCAATTTATTCCACTTTGATATAATACGTTGTAATTTTGTTTCATTGTTCAAACAGGGTAAAATATTTTATGTAACACCAAGTGTTATACCATCTCCTTCAGCGATCGGGGAAATTATAGAAAGCGCGGGTGGTATGATGGAGAAAACGCGTAAATCGCTTGCTCAGATACAAGAAATGAATACTGGAAAGTTAAATTATATTATTGTGACCCACGAAAATGACCTTCATCTTCTTTCTGACATCTTGCGTGCGAATATTAGTAAGCATATTAACTTTTTCATCATTTTTATTGAAAGGTAATTGAATTTTAAGACTCCGGAATCGCTGTTCAATTTTACAAGTGTGCTGAATCGATCACAAATATTATTTTGTGGATATATCTTTTTATTTGAAAATATACAAATCTTGGCATGCGTTTCCTCGTTTCTCGTTCATTAAACAAAGTAGCTTCGTAGCGACTACTCCGGAGCCCTAAGCAAAACAATTCACTAAATTCACGTATATTAAGAGTCGTCTTCTCTCAATGATAGCATTTCTTTTAATTTCACAGGTGTGTTCAGTGCAGAAATTGTATTAGGCGCAGTCGCACGACAATACTTCCAACTTGACTCAAGTCAAGTTTAAAATATGCAGTAAACGTTCTCTACTGTATTTTTATCCATGTCATGGGCCTATCAAGTTCTTAATGAGTTATTTTCCAGTTGAAATCTTTGCTTACCTTCAATGGGACAATAAAGAACATAATTTTATGATACAAAAGGAAATTATTTTTGTACATCCACGCCATTACCTCTTCAGTTACAGTCTGTATTATTGAGAGTATGTATGCAATAAATTCAATATGTCTGACGTTTAATGTGCAATAATTTATTTGTGATATCAATAAGAGTTTCTGAAGAGCTATGGCCAAATAACTGCATCCCAAAGAATCATTGTAACATTTTTTTTTTATATTATTTAATATTAAGTAATATTTTCGGAATATTAATAGATGGTTATATGTCCACCCCTAATAATATTTAAAAAATAATATTTAATGTTATTGTAATATTATATATTTTTTAAATATTCAACTCTATATATAAAATTGTTTTTCTTATTTCAAATGTATTGCAATATCTATTGTTTTATTATAAAAATAAAGTCGAAATAATTTCATGTAAAAATACATTTCATATTAAAAAAATATACATATGTATATATGTGTATATATATATACATATATACAGCACACATACATATGTATAATTTTTTTAAATACAAAACGTATTTTTACACAAAATTATTTTTGTAAACACGAATGGCAGCTTTTTAAAATCACAATTGAGAAGAAAAATATTTAGATTTAAAATGTTTATTATTATAGAAATAAATAAAATATCGAATTAACACACCTAGTAACTGTTATATACTACGTGTGTTATATTGCACTGACATTATTGAGTGAAAAATTGTAATGTTAATGTTGTTGATTATTTGATGTTTACCGAGATTTAGTCAAAATGATTGTCGGATAGAACAAAAATGTTCAACATGCTTCGAAAAAGTAACAAGACAGTTTTCTTTAAAAAATATAATGTTTATTAGTACTTTCAGACGCTTTTTCTGAATTTATTAAAAAACGTACATGTACAAAATTCATGCGAAAGTTACGGAATAGAGATCTGTTGATTAATCCAGGGCATATATTGGGCCACGTCAACGAAAACAACATACTGTGTAAGATCGCATGTCATTTCGTTTAAGTCGAACAATGATCGTGAAACAATACCGCGCAGTTGATAACGACCCGTGGTTGAATCGTGGAGCACCAAACCGCTTCCGCTGTCGCCATTACATGGACCGCTACCGTCTTTCAAACCAGCGCAGAAAGTGCGGTTTGAAGTAAAACTGACGAAACGTTGATCGCTCCATAGGCATACCTCCTGTGATGCACACAATAATAACGTTGGAGTCATTTACAAAATCCAATACAATTTATGCACACACATATGTATATTAAGTACTCTGTGTGCAATTCTTATCGTTGTCATTAGGCATAATATATTTGCATTTTTCAGATACCGAGTCTGCATATGGGATAGTGAAATAACTAACGGTATCTAACAATCAATCACTGCCGATTAATCACAATTTGAAATGGATAATTACGCGTCAACGTTAAAGATGCACAACGGATGAAGGAACATTTCTTACGGAGATATTTTTACCTGGCTGACTATCGGCAGTTTTGCCATTCGTGGCTCCGCGAGATAAGGATTGCCGAACTCATCACGGCCCCATCCTACTACAAATCCCAATTTATTCACCACGTTTTGAAGATTAGATGGACCGGGCCATAAACAGACGGGTTTGATCGTAGAACTGTATTCGACAGAAGTCCGGAGAACCAAAACTGCTAAGTCAGAGTCACCGGTGCCCTGATGTGTGTAGTCAGGATGAAGCATATAGCTCTCGATCTCCCGATTTACAGATCCCGCTTCTCGCCAATCGCGCAACCGATAGCGACCCACGGACGCTAACATTGTGCTAGGAGGTATGTTCACGTTGGTCTGGGCGTTCAATTTAAGACAATGCGCCGCTACGAAAGAAATGAATATTTTCCATGTACTTATGTGGAGCCAAACTGAAAGAGAGTTCCAGTACCGAAAATCTACAGTTCATGTCACGTATACTATAGATTTTCAGTATTGGTAGTGAATATCGGAACGCAGCCCGTGCCTAAAAGATTTCAACAAGAAGAGTTTATAAAAATTACATGGCATTTATATATATCAAGGAAATTATTACTTGAATTGTAGAAGGTTGTATCTCGATTATACGTATGAGAAAAAAAAGAAAGAGAGGAAGGGTCGAGGAAGGTTGTTATAATAGAGTACTGAAGAGTATCAAGTACATTTTTTTTTCCAACACACCTGTTATAACATGTCTCTTGGTTACGAGGGAACCGGCGCACTGAAACTCAAAGTCGATTTTAACGAGAAAGAGAGCAACTAACCATGGCCATTGTCCTGGCGATATGCTCATCCCTTTGGAGATCAACGGATTAATTTCATTAGTATTAACGCTACGGCCACAGTCACCATTGTTTTGACTGGGTTGAGGTTGAGATTGAAGCTGAGGTCGAGATTGCGGAATATTAGGATTTAAGAAAATATTTTTGTCAATCTCGTCGGAGAGGTCGATACGTTCAGTTGTTACTGGACGTGGCGTAAGGGGTTTTTTCTTCGATTCAGTAGGACGACGACTCGGTTGAATTGTCGGTATCGTGAAAAACGGCCTCATCGTCTGTACTTCTGGTAGATGAATGTATACTGGATGATAAGTATTCTGCGACGGTCGAACATAGGAAGGGGTGTTTTGCGAAAGCGGTACCATCTGTGGCGGATATAGAGTATGTTCTAGCACTATGGAAGTAACGACCGGTCCTACCGCTGAAAAGCAAATGAAAATTAAACTACACGTTCATTTGAAGTGGAGAGAAAATGTATTTTCGTCCGGAAAAATCACTCTTTCAGAATACATGGAAAATATAAGTTTTTCTCTTTTCTCAATAGTACTCACCACGAGGACCCACGCAATATACTTGGTCGTTGAACCATATGCCAGTCAATACCGGAATCGGCCGACTCAGAGGGAAGAGAATGCGGTATAATAAGGGTCCACCTTGTTGTACTATTCGAACTGAGTCTTCTTTCGAGTGAGCCAATTCTAGTCGACCAACATATCTCTAAAACGATTCAACTGTTTTCAAATAATGAGCAAAATCGGATCAAGATTGACATTTTTTTTAACCCTACAAAGAAGGTTTTCTTCGATACTCAGTTATGGTTGGAACGTTATTAAAGATAATAAATGTGATTAACAGCAGGAAATGTTTACCGTCGGTAGTGCAACGGCGATGCTTAGACCAACTTTCAAGTGAAGCTCGACGTTTCTTGGCGGGGACGGAATTTGGACTTGTCCCATTATTTCATTTGTCGAAGGATCAGTTATATATGTGAAGTATTGAGGACACGGAGATTGTCCTGACACTTCCACTAGCATGCAAAGCAGTTGCATCAGCCATATCGTCATAATAGAAACCTTGACCATCGTGAAACTCTGTTATAACGATAAGATTCACGTTTTACGATATACGTGATTTGAATATGTATCGTGTATCTTTCCATATTGATAATTTTTAAACACTTTTCATATAGTTCTGGTGAACACTCAACAATTAACACTTTGAATAATGTGCCTTTTTTACCATCTCTTGAATTTTATGGACATTTTGTGGATTTAATTCACATTTATAGAATAATAAATATCCATGTGTCATAGATTTTGAGGCGCTAATATTACAAAACAGAAATATTAAGAAATAGGACAAAATAACGTTCGCACTGGTCCCAAGTGAACCAGGAAAACTGATAGCGCATGCAGATAAATTTATACATTGTTATATAATATTTTTTTATTACTCCGTAGAATATCGCTAGCAAACACAGCAATTCTATAAGCACGTAATATTAAATAAAATTTTGGGCATACTCTTAGAATATTAGACGTAATATTCTAATAATATTCTAGTAATATTGTTTAATGTTGTTGTAATTTTTCAGTATTCAACTCTATCTATATACAAAGAGAAACGATCCTAAGAAGTAAATTGTGCGAACGTATTCTTGCCGCTACTTTTCGAGTGAATATTCACTCGAATATTCACCTTGTTCATGCAGTAGTTGTTGAACGAAAGTTGTGGTACCAGGTCGCATTCACACACTATTTAAACAAACTTCAATTCAAGTGAGAATAAATGCCATTTCTGTGTATAACTCAGTTTGTGTAACTTTATCATTTTATTAATATTGACATTGATGAATTATTTACACTTAATAGGACACTGTCTAACACATATGTTTATATGATTTTTGTATATTTATTATTTCCTAGTACACGTATACATTATTATTGTCTTTTTTATCTACCATGATTATTAATATTTATTCCTTTCTATGGATTTCGATATGTTGATTATTATAATCCGCACGTTTATATTATATTCTTGATACACATTTCGTTATAACACTAATTTTCTGATTTCACTGTATTATTTATATTATTTTCTGAATTCACTGTGATTATTTATATACACTACAAACGCGTTAATTGAGCTGTACGCTTTAATAATTTTATATTTCATTTGACGAAATCTACGGCTAAAGTTTTATTTGTTTTCTTTTGTAACTTATTAGTTTTACTACAATTATTTTATGTACTAGTGTGCAAAATACTTTATTATAACAACACGCTGAATAATTCAATTTCATTGGATCTCAATACTGTAACGATCAATCCAGACATTCAGCGTGTCAATTTTCGGAGCTTCGACCGAACAAACTCACCGAAGCTTAGCCGAAGCATCGACTAACCAGTTCTCTATCAAAACGCATCGACACACTCATATTTTTCGCACACGTTCTACGGCAGTAGTGGGGTATGACGATCGTCCGGCACATCAAGGAAGAACGGGACGAGGAACGAGACGGGGAAATAACAAGCGGGGTTGGGACATCTTCTTGGAGCACGATATCGCGGTGGAAAGAGGAAGACCGGGGGAATCCGTATGTTCAATGAGTCACGGATCCGTTCCTGCTGCGGCTTTGCTAATATAATGTAGCTTTGACTATCATCGCAAAGCAAAGCCAAAGAATGATTAGTATCATGTTATTTCAGTTTGACTGTCTGAGTGTCTTCAATGACGCGCGGTTAGTTATGTAAACACCAGCTTAAAGTCACTGCCATGCAATAGCGCATCACATTTTTTATTTCATCTACAATTAAAAAACGAAAATTACATTTGTATATATTTCGCATAGCCACTCTTTTTGCATCTCTCCCGTGCAAATGCGATTATATTTTCGAAAATGTCGATTAATTCACTTTCAAATGGAAAGAAAATGCAGCCGGACGAGAAAAGAACTTCTCTTACTTTGCGAAAACACGTTAGTATATTTCTTGAGATTGCCCAAACTCGTTTGCAGAGAGCACGTTGATAAGAAAAAAAAAGTGGTCAATGATGTGAATAACCCACCTGAGTGGCTCAGTGGATAGGATAAAAACTCGGGGAATTCACGGTTGCACATTGAGTTTCTCGTGAATCATGCCAAGAAAATATAATACGTGCAGCAATAGAAATATACCACGAACTAAAAATTAACGAATGAAGATTATATATAGTCATCATAATGTGTAGAGCAAGGATTAAAAGTACAATTCATGTATTCCAGGCTTATTTCAATAATCAAGTTCAAGATTATCTAGATATAAATATTGCTTTTGTTTCTCGAAGTAGCGAGGAAAAGTTAAAAATTATCTGACTAAGTTAAATTTTAATCACAGTTTATTGTAACTTTTTCATTTTCAACGTTAAATAGCGTTCGTATTCAGCGAGAAATACCACAATCATGACTGATGCTAAAAAGATCGATAATACATCTTTGCAACTTGCTGAGTTGTTTGCATACACGTGACTAACATTGACACACTTCAAAATTAACTTTTCGTGTGTAATCGCTTATATATTAAATTCCAGCATATATGTGAAAATATAATAATTTTGATAAAACATAGAATAATATAACATTGTACCGTTTGTTCGACATTTTTTCGAATTTTCCGAATTTTTCCGAATATTCTCTCGCACGATAATATTATAGAATATATACGATAAAATTTCGAAAACTTTTAGAGAATACATTTATTACCTTAACTAGAAATGTCTCTTTCCAATTCCCATTTTTCATTTACGTCATTGCTTCCACATTTTGTACCACAATGTTACGGCATATGTCACAGTGACGATATGTTAATTAAATATTCCCGGAAATGTTTACGAAATTTACGTACACAGAGATTTCATTTTTATCAGCGATGTTTCACAGTTAATTTCACAGTTTATCGTAATACACGGAAAGATAATTTTGAAGTGTGTCAATGTTAGTCACATGTATGCAAACAACTCAACAAGTTGCAGATATAATATCAATCTTTTTAACATCAGTCAGCAGTCATGATTGTGGTATTTTCCACTGAATACGGACGCTATTTAACGTTGAACATGGAAAAGTTACAATAATCTGTGATTAAAATTTAACTTGGTCAGATAATTTTTAACTTTTTCTCGCTACTTCGAGAAACATGAATTTCACGATATGTCGATTCCAATCGTTTTCTTCAACCCCGAAATATACTCATTCATGATTATCGCTGGACAAGAAGCAGCTCAATCAGGAAATAAAGAGACGGTTATATTTACATCAGGGAGTCTATTGAAAAACTGTTTGTCATTATCTTCTATTTGACTAGGACTTTCTCTAACATGTGTGTAATATTCATAATATTTACATCGTATTATATTTTATGCGAATTACGTAAATGGAAACAGCCATTGCGAATTTTATAACTACAAAAGAAACATCGTTATATTACTTTTTATTATTACACTGTTATATTAATACAATTTCTTAATATATTGGAAGACAGAAATTCTTAATGATCTAGACGTTTGACGTTGAAAATTGCATATTCTTTTTTGAAACTTTTGCTGAAGAAAAATCTCCGAATTCACCAAAAAATTGTTCCAATCTTCATACAGAAAGATTGCCTATTTTATGTACATACAAATAGCAATGTCACACAAATTACAACAATTCAAACAAAATATAGTAAACTTCACGAATATAATACAATTTATTGTTAATATAAAATACTATCTAGAGATATAGAAATTTACATTATCACACCATTATATATTGCAGTTCAATGTTGCAGAAAAATGGTAGGCAAAAACAAAGATTCGCAATATAATTTCAACAATCTTACAGCAATATTTCAAAAACATAATTCAAAAATATGAAAACAACATACTATTATTATGTGCGTGCGTGCTTACGTGATACATGTATTGTACGTAAATTAGTTTCACACAAGCTACGTCTATTGCTTTTTCTTCCTTTTAAGAAATTCATTATTAAGTCATTTCTACTTATAATATACACACAGCTTATATAACGAGTCAAACGTTTAATTTTAAGCGCTTTAAGAAGTAATCCAGCCTACAACTTTAAAATTAATCGATCATTTTTTTGCATATTGTTAATATATTAGATCTAAAAAGTAAAAAAAAAATTCCTAGAAGATTTTGTCGAGACACTTAAAAATAACGAAACTACTGGCATTTGTAGGAGGCATCGCTCGGATAAAATATCCGCGCGTTCAAAGCCAACTGCAGTATCGTGCTCTTCGACACAATCATTTTTAGGTCTAATTTTCTTTGTGTAGTGTCCTGTAGTATGTATTGCGTATTACGTATTGCGTATTACGTATTACGTATATGTTTTAAAAAGACCTCTGAAGGTACCTGTTTTGAACGGATAGACTTTATAATTCCAGAAGTGTCAAAATAACTCATAAACTCAGAAGGAAAGGAAAATTCACAAATAAATTAATTACTGGTTCGACAAAATATTACAATTTAATAATTCGAAGGTCTCTTAATTTCAAAGAAGAAAAAAATTATGGTGAACTTTTATTATAAGATTTCAACGCAGCATTCATATTGTTTTTCGACGTGATGCGAATAAGCAGCAAGCTAAGAAGCATAAAAATATCGTAGATTTTATTCATGATATTTCTCTTTAACCAGATATATAAAAGATTTTTAAACTTATTTATAAAGATTTATCACGAAATAATTTACATGGAAAGTGTATGAAGATGAATACATGCAAAATAATAATAAAAATTTCAACTCTTTAATATGGACCTTTACACCGAATATCTTTTGTGCTGCAAAAACAATTGAAATTGCTATACATTTAACCACGTGCATTTTCAACAAAGGATTTTATCTTTTAGAAATTTTCACACTAATGGATGTAATAATTGGATCAGAGATAAGAATATTTGTTGATATGCAGAATAAACAACGCATTAATCATAGTCGATTATTCTCCTCGCATTCGACTGTGATTGGTCAATTTCTTAAGGTTTAGAGCTTAAATTGTAGATCTCGCTTTACTTAAGTCTACAATAGATGCTTTAAGAAATTAATCAATCACAATCAAATTATAGAAGAATAATCAATCGTGATTGGCCAATTTCTTAAAACTCTATTGTAAACCCTAGCCAAGTACTGCTTAACCCGTCAGTCCCCAATGCACCCTCCAGGTGGCACAATATTTTTGACTTATAAACCATCGAAATAACACTGCTAACCTATAACATAGCTCTAAGTGTTCAGTTTAGATACTAGTGACTCTAAAACAAGTTGTCGACACTGAATAAAAGCGATATATAAGCGAAAAATAACCTTCCAAACTTTATCATTACCACTTTTCTGAAACACTCAAAACCTATAAATTTGGTTTCCTTAGGTTCCAAAACATGAGATTTCCCACGAGGAAACAGAAATTTGTGGTTTCAATTCATTTGGGAACTAACGGGTTAATGTAGACGCCTTTTACTGCTTACTTTCTATGTAAACGGTCTTTTAAATACTACTCTATTCTTCGAGTGGAGTTTTGGAACGTAGCCTTGGTATCATCCGCACGGTGGGTCTCCATGAGTGCATCCGAAAGTGAAGTTTCCGAATGCAGCCCAATTGTGTAATAGACTAACGAATGTGAGGTCTGTCCGATGATATTTCCTACATTGAACGTAGCGTTGATGATGTTGCTTTATAAAGGAACATGTCCAGAATGTCTGGAATGTTCGCTGTAATTTTATATATAGTGTTAAATTTCGTGTATTTGTAACACAATGTTATACCGTTTCTTCAACATATAAAAAATTTCAATATCATCGATGTGCCTGTGTGGGAAATTGTCGTGAACAAACGTCAATCTGAAGAAGTAACATATAACGTGATAAATAACGTCCTTGTGTCTTATAAAGTGATCTCGAGGAATAAAATGGATTTCAACGATTTGTTATCCGTCGCACAGAAGAACAAAGGCCAGAAACAGGTTAGGTCTTGTTGACATATGGCGTCATTACCTTTTAATTTCTATTTAGAAATTCGTATTAAACCTATCGACATATTGTAATTTTAAATTCGTTTCATTAGTAGTCACAAGTACTTAAGTATTTTATTGGAAAATTATACTGAAATAGGAAATATTAAAGATATGTATATTAAATTAAATTTGGCACATGATGAATTTGTGTATATGAATATATCAGACAAAAATTACTTTGTAAACAGGCTGTACCATGTTACCAAACCAAATTTACACCATTGAAGAAACAGGTTAAACAGTCTAAAACTCTCTCTGAAAATATTAAAAAGTTTTTGGCTCGAAAGGAAGAAGAGGAGAAACAGAAAGCTTTGGAAGAAAAAAAAAAGAAGGAGGTATTCTTATAGAAAATATACTATACTATACTATATACTTATAGAAAATAATTAATAAAAGTATGATATGTTGATCTTTGAATGATATGAATGAATGTCTCTTTTATATTTTCAATCGACCATACCAAGTTACTTATTTTAGACTTTTGGTTTACAGAATCTTTTAGCTTTACGAGATCGCAAAGCTCAGAGTCGGATAAATAAACATTTGAAAGTATGTAAATCAGCAAATAAGTCAGTACTTGCGGATGCAATTGATAACGACAATACGGCTATTACTATAGCAGGTAATATCATAGATATGAGAATATATAGATAGAACGTTAGTTCAGAGCAGGGATAACAGATTTGGGACAAGGGAACATATAATTCAGCTTTCTGTGATACAGTTGTATCATGAGTGGAATTGACTGATCATGGAAATAATTGGAAGGGATATATATTATTCCTAGTTCCTATTATTCCTATATATATTATTCCTGGTTCTTGTTATTTTTATTTTATTATTCCCATATATATTATTCCTAGTTCTTGTTATTTTTACAGCCACATGTTATACAGAAACGTATTGTTTCTCTTCTGGCAACAATGTTTACAAAGTTTGGTAAAAAAGTAAAACATATTTTTTTAGAAAAAAATCAACTTTATTCTTTGACATAATTTCCTTTGAGGTTTGCGTGCTTGGTCCAGCTTTTCCAATTTTTTCATCTCGTCTAAAATATAGCTTTTGTCAAGCTCTAAGTAAAATAGTCATTGACGGCAGCGATGATTTGACGAAAATTTCTTCCTACCAAGCGAAATTTTTAACTTCGGGAACAGAGAAAAGTCGTATGGAGCCAAGTTTTGTGAATATGGTGGGTGAGGAACCAATTCAAAGCTCAATTCATGCAATTTTGCCATTGTGACGTTCGATACGTGAGACGGCGCGTTGTCCTAGTGAACGAGCACTTTTTTGCGCGCCAATCTTGGTTGTTTTTCCTTCAATTTGTTTTTCAAACGGTCCAATAATGCCGCATAATAGGCTCCTATTATAGTCTCGGCCTTTTCCAAGTAGTCAATGATTCCTTGGGAATCCAAAAAAATAGTGGACATCATCTTGCCAGCCGATGAAACGTCTTCACTTTCTTTGACGCACCAGTCGTTGTCCATTGTTTTGACTGCTGTTTGGACTTTGATGTGAAATGGTGAATCGACGAATCGATGCGAAGTCCTTCGGATTACGATTAGACGTCATCAAACATTGCATTGAAAAGTCCATTCGAGTGTATTTTTGCCCGACAGTGAATAATCGCGATATCCATCGCACGGATAGCTTTTTCATATTTAATTTTTCTTACAGGATATCGTGCATTCACTTAATTGAAATACCTACAGGCACAGCAATCTCGCGCATATGTTCTCAGCGGTCTTCCATTACGATACTATGGATTTTTTCAACGATTTCCTCCGTGATTATCTCAGTTGGATGTCTGGAGCACGATTCATCCTCAATGCGTTTAAACTCATTTATCCAGAAATAAACAGTCTTCAATGCTGGTGCAGGGTTCCCATGAACTTCATTCAACTTTAATCTGCTTTAATCTGCACGGTTAACTTCTTCAAATAAAAATATTTTATGACGACACGGAACTCATTTTTTCATTTGTTGCGGTAAATACGAAAGCGATCGATTTAGATGACTATCAAACGTTAACTACGCGTCGCACTTGACTGAAATTTTGACAGAAATCGCCTGAGGAATAATACTTGTCAGCAGTGATATTACTTTATTAATTGTGGCGTTATCTCATGGAAATTTACCAAACTTTTCAAACTACCCTCGTATGAAGATTCCTTAACTCTTCCCCATCAATCTTACACTCCCCTTGCCTAAAGTAACTCCTTATGCTCTGTCGATATATTTTTATGTCTATGGGTAATATTATGTGATCTTATTTAGATAGATAATAACCTATTTACCAGGTGTAGAAGTTTGAAACCGGAATTATTTTGTAAAAATTACACGTCTGTTGTTTGAAAATGATACAAAATATTTTATTCAAAATAATGTCCATTGCTATTTACACATTTTTCCCACCTCTCCGGCAGTTTATGAATGCCACGCCAAAAAAACATTTCTTCTTTTGAAGCGAATCAGCTATCGAGCCATTTTCGTACATTTTCATACGAATTGAAGCGTTGTTCAGCGAGAGCGTGTCCCATTGATGCGAATAGATGATAATCGGACGGAGCCAAATCTGGAGAATAAGCCGCATGCGTTAATATTTCCCAACTGGACGCCTCGATCGTTTCCCTGACCCGTTTTGCTGTGTGTGATGGGGCATTATCATGGAACAAAACGACTTTGTGTTGCCTTTTTCCATATTCCGGTTGTTTTTCACTCGATTTAAATCGATCATTTGCTGTTGATAGCGATCAGTGTTAACGGTTTCACCAGGTTTTAGCAGCTCATTATAGATTACACCCTTCTGATCCCATCAAACACAGAGCATTGTCTTCTTTCCAAAGCGATTGCAGTGCATGTCGATGGTTCGCCTGGATTCACCCATGATTTCTGACGCTTAAGATTCTCAAAATATATATCCATTTTTCATCACCTGTCATGATACGATGGAGAAATGACTTTCTTTTGTATCTGTCGAGCAGTATTTCACAAGTGGTTTTTCGATTTTCTTGCTGTCTTTCATTCAGTTCATGCGGAACCCATTTTCCCACTTTCTGAATCTTTCCCATGGCTTTCAAACGAATTGAGACAGCATTCTGCGTCACATTCAATTCATCTGCGAGTTCTTGTTGAGTTTGAGTATCATCTTCATCCAATAAGGCTTGCAATTCGTTGTGTGCGAACTTTTTCAGTGGTTTCCCACGCTCTTCGTTTCTCACGTCAAAATCACCACTTTTGAATTGTTTGGAACCACTCGAAACACTGTGTTTTACCAAAAGCATGTTCACCGTAAGCTTCGACAAGCATTCGATGCGATTCTGCAGCAGTTTTCTTCAAATGATAACAAAAAACCAATGCTGTCCGCAAATCGTAGTTCGTAGGCACAAAACTCGACATCTTCAAGGTTATAGAAAAATATACCGGTGTATGGAACTTGGATTGTTGTGTTTTGAAAATCTTCGTCAGCTGTTAGAGGGAGATGATGCGCTGCAGAAGCGGTCTTATGGTCCCTAAACTGATGGTTAGCATCTATAGGGAAATTCCGGTTTCATACTTCTACACCTGGTATATCTCGTAGCAATATTTTCATATAACAGATTAAACATTTTTAATCTGTTCTATGTTTTTATTTATAAGAATAAATATATTAGTAATGTAATTTCTTTTTAAAAAGAAACATAAAACTGAAGTTCCAACTATATACAAGCATTTATATACACTATTTGTAACAGTTAAGAGGAACATTTGACACTTCTTCAAAAAAGACAAGATTCAAGTAACTATAACTTTGTCAAAAATTATCGAAATATAAATCTAAAAAAGGGATTTTTTTTTATTAAAACAAATTTAAACACGATAGAGGACATTCGCGAATAGAAACTTCGAGCTTTACAATTCTTTTTTTAAATTTGAATTTCGATAACTTTTGACAAAGTTACAGCTGCTTGAATTTTGCTTGTATTTTGAAGAAATATCAAGTGTTCTCTTAATTATTATGAGTAGTTTATATAGAAATTTACTTCTAATTTATTTATTTATAATTGCATTATTTTTCTTTGGCGATACAAATAGACCTTTCTTAATACATACTTACAAAATTGTTGTGTATTAAACTATAAGATATAAGATATCATAAAAACAGATTTTATTAATGGCAAAATAATAATAAAACTATTCCACAACATTCACTGTAGTAAATTCAAAACACAAGATAGAAAATAGATACGGAAACAAATGATACAATAAGCAGTTTATTTGCATGTTACACTTATCAGCTTGAGAAAAGAAAAAAAATATTCTCATCCATAATGGGCAATATTTTTGCCCACAGGTTATATTATATACAAGAGATACAATGCATAATTTATCCACCATCTCAAATCGGGGCAGAACAATTTCATGGATTTGCACCGTGGAGGATACTAAGGTGTTAATTAAGGTCAGCCATCTAATTTTAGAATAGTTTAGAAGACTTACGAATATGCAATTTGTGCTATAATTATTGCAGTTTCCATTTATATTTGTGAGTTCCTGTTCAAAGTATTTTAGAGAACTACAATTTTATTTATACTTATCCCAAGTAGGGAAATAATGTTAGAAGATGTTATATTGACGTCAGAAATATCATATATTGCCGTCAATGGATTTTCCTCTGACGTCACTCTCCTACTTGGGACGGTATTAAGGTAAAAATCACATACGCATGATGCTTTATAAACTTAGAACTATATTTTTTTTTTGCCAATAAGAGATTATTTATGCTCTTTAATAATAAGATGTCTTTTGGAAAAGAGATATTTGTTTATGCAATGAATTTAATTTTTCATATTTATAGATGCTTAATTTCTCATATACTTTTAAAAGATATTTTATTTTCTACATATCGTTATTATTGTTTTTCTATTGTTTTGAAGTTGTTTAAAATAGAAAATATAAAAATATAATTTCAATAAATTGCTTATAATTTTATTCTACTCTTTTATTATATATTAATTTTTATTTTAATAAATATTAATATAATAATATTATATAAATATTAATAGAGTACTTAAAGGCAACCGTGCATCGGCTCCTAATAGTCATTTAATTTCTGCATATTTATTTTCTCGGAGCCATAATACTTGAAATTTGATTTGATATAATATTGGCGAAAAAGAATATGCTCAGTTTCGGTCTCGTACGTATAATCCCACGAGTTTGTAAATACCGATTGTTGCGAGAGGTATCACCTCGAAACGGCGCCCGGCCCGAGATGATATTAATTTGCAACATAATGTGTTAAAGCTAGGGGGGGGGGGGTAGTTTTGATCTAGGGATCTAAGTCCGTACGAAGTTTCCACAGTGGAAAAATTTTTTATCGCGCTTCGTTTAGCGTAAAAATTCGTATTTTCGCGATAGACGATCTTTATACCACAGAATAATACCGGTAATATAACACAAAAACAACTGTGCTTCGACTTTTAATGGCCATTTAATTTATATAAATTTGTTTTCCCGAAGTCATAATACTTTAAATTTGAAACATCATATCATTTAATGATATTTACAATGAACACACAAAGGTACATTAATTGCGATTCAATGTACATTATATGATATTGCTGAACACTTTATATTTTTAAAAGAAGTGTAAAACATTTTCCTATTATAAATTATCTTACTATCTTATGTATCATTTGTTTGTCCACTTGGCTTTCCTGTGAATAATTTCTCTTTACTGTATCAAGGATGAGGAATTGGAATTTTATTCTTCGATAACTATAAAATAAATCGTTGCGCTTGATATTTGGAACTTTATTTTTATGTAATTATGAAATGTGATATCGAAATGTGATATTAAAATGATATATTTTGGATAAAATAAGTAAATCATTTTATTACATATCACGATGATCAATTATATATATGAATAAATGTTATACTATTTCTTATTAAAATGTATCACTTATCTTAGGTCCATCTCAGCCAGATGAAGATGACTATGGATACGTGTCACAAGAAGCTGCTGCATTTTACAATCAGTTAATGGATAAATATAGTAAATTACCTCCAGAGAAACCAATATTTAGCAACACAGAAAAAAAAACAATAAACGATATTGCATCTACAAAGGTATAATTATATCACTTGGAAAAATGTTAACAAAATATATTTTTTATATAAATTGCGTAATATCAAACAGACATTTTGAATAAGTATCAATCAACATTCAGTATGTCTGACAATTAATGATTAACAAATAAAATAACTTGGGTAAAGACGAATGTGATCAAGTATGTCACCATGTCGCTCACTGCTCGCAACATTATTCTGTCTTTCGTTGTCATTCGATATTACTTGGAAATAAGCCCATATATATCTTCAAGTTGTCCTACAGAGCCCGTCCTACCGTATTGCACGCACTGAATCTCCTTTAATTAATATCGCAAAAATGGATCTTTGTAAAGTAGTAGATAACTTTTTTATTCAGTTTGAACTCAATCTACATACATACATATTATTGTCAGATATATCTGTATGTTGACATTATTTTTTATTATCGGTTAAATACAGTCTAATTTTTCAACAATTTTTCAGTGAGAAGATAATCGACATTTTCTTTTTTCTCTAATGTAGTTACCATGAGTAAACGTTAAAACGTTAAGTATTACTATGGGTTACATATTATTCTAGGATAGGCTAAAACAAGCTTTTAAACAACAAGAACTCGGTGGATCTGATGGACATAGGCGGAGAAAGAAAGTAACTGCCTTGGATGTAAGAGAGCCTGAAGCAGATGAAAAAACGGAAGTGAACAAAATCAAAGAAGAAGATGAAAAGCCTAAGCTGAAGAAGAAGTCACTGCCACCTCCTCTACATTTCGCAGAACTTTTAAAACTTGCGGAAAAAAAACAGCATGAACCGGTATATGTGGAAGTCAAACCAAAAGTTGAAGAATCAAGGCCAATGACAAAGCGTCAACAGCAAGAATATATAAAAGAAAAAGAAAGAAAGGAACAACGTGAGAAAAATCCAGAGACAGTTAAAAAATTGAGCGTTGTAAATACACCTAGTAAGCCCACCAAAACACAATCGAATAATATTCTAAAAGCTAGTGAGAAGCCTCCAAACCCAGTATCGGATAAAAATATTTTGAGAACTACATTAACTATTCCGAAAAAGATTAATAACAAATCTAACGGCAAGCATAATTCAGAAAAAACTGACTTGGACAAATCTAAGAATGATATATTAGAAGAAAGGAAGAAATTAGAAGCCGAGAGAAGACAACTGGAAGATATGCGTCGTGTTATCGAAGAAGAAAAAAAGAAATTGGCGCAAAAGCAAGAAGATGTGAAATCTCAAGTAAAATTTTCTAATAAAGTATCATCCAAACTTAAAGTCGCAGATAAACAGATACCGTACAAGGGCGTTAAACCGCGGCAGTTGCCACCTGCAGACTTAAAGCTACATTCATCACTAGCCAATGATAAACCGAAACAACTTCCACCACCTGACATTAAATCCATGAAACATAAACAGATTGTTAAGAAACTATCTGCATCTAATAAACGTAAGTTCACTTGTAAAATTAAATACGTCGATTAAAACGTATCATTAATGAAATAAATAGTTAAGGCTCTTAAATATACATTTGCTTGCAAAATGGTTTAGAAAGAACGAAGCGCAGCTAATTGTCACGAATACTAACGTCATTGAATACCAACGGTTTTGCGTAGTAACCAATTATGATACAAGTCGAAGTATATTTGAAGCATAAGATTTTCCAATTCTTTGAACGTCAATATCGAAACACACGGTTAAACTCAGGAAACTATTCTGAAATGTGTTAACACGTCGCATTATCTTGAACAGATTTATTTGTCACACTATATGCGATTTCTGCGATACTATGACTTCGACTCTTGTCAGTAGTGAATTCTCAACCTGACAATTTGTTGCGCCTCCAACTTCATCATGTCTAAACCGTTTTGCAACTAACAACGAGAAGTCACAAAGGATCACCGATTTCAAATTATCGGACACATTTTTTTATATTTGTATCATGTATTTTTCAATTTTCACAGGACGCATTTGTGACGATGATGAAGATGAATATGACTCAGACATGAATGACTTTATAGATGATGGGCCAGAAGAAGATAATGAAGATTACAGTAGATATATCAGTGAAATATTTGGCTATGATAAAAATAAATATAAGCAAGTTGATGATGAGGATGATACTGCTATGGAAAGTAATTTTGCGCAGCAGCTAAAAGAAGAATACGTATCGACGAAAATAGGTACTTATTTCTAATAATTAATATCGTAGAATAATATTAATTATTCAACTAACTTTTATTCACATAATTTAATACCAAGCTAATTAATAGTTTAAAATATTAAATATAATTAATAATTTAATACATATAATAAATAATGTTGTAAATTAAGGCTCGAAAGTCAGAGTTGACGATGTCTAATAATAGTGACGATAACATCGAACAACTGAGTAGTTCTGAGGATAACAAAACGTCTAGGATAACCTAACGGAATGTGGCGTTACTTAAAGCTACATTCATCACTAGTTAGAGTGATGAAGTTACCCTTAGAGCTAATTATATGATAATGTTATATGCATTACATCTCTCGGTGTAAAGTTGCAAAGATGTTTGGTTAAATGCGAGACTGAAGAGATTGATTGAAATTGAAGCAATTCTCTTCCGAGCTGAATCTCTGACGTTGACCGCTTCTCTACACTAACGATTTTTATCATCTATTCGCACTCAGCTTTCTCCAACTTTTGTTATACGTTTTTATGAACATAATGAAAACATTATTTGCAAGGGGTGACCACAAGATAGTATTCCAACGATTTTCAGTAATATTGTTTATGCGGATAAGCCCTGGTATGCACCCCTTTTTTAAGTAAAGGGAGAGAGCGCAAGCATTTTCGAGAAAATCGAAGTTAGACAGTTCCGACAGTGCCATATGAGTAATTTTAGCGGAGTTGTTCACCGCGCGGCTTGGCGATATCATTCACAAGTTTGAGATCGTTTGTTCGAATCTCGATGAGTGATTTTTCTTTTCATATCAGAGTGCAATTTTCAAAAAAAATAATTATAAATCATATGAGTTTACGTATTTTATTTATTTATTTTGTGCTAAAGCTCCTGTTTCCTCACCATCTGATGACATCAGAAGTGAGGAAAATCATAATTATTTATATTACGGTATATGTGAAAATAAAAGTATATACACACAAAATGATATTCGCGGTCGATTCAGCACACTTGTAAAAATGTCTACACGCTTTCTCTTAATCTCAACAATCAATAGATAAAATAGCCGTAAAACTACCGATATTTGGCCTTATTCTTCTTCCTTTGGCGCTACAATCCTTTGCAGAGTCTATAATCTTGAGAATTTTAATTTAATGTTAACGTCGAAATTTAGACGAGTACTTACGACGAGTATTTTACATATTCTTTTTTAAATTGAAATAATAGATCTTGCTCAGTTTTTGGTATCCATATGTCATTACGTACGCAAGCTTTTTATTAACAAAACATAAGCTTATTGTGGATACAAATGACACCGGATTTATTATCAAGTTTTTAGCGAATTTGATGTCAAATTTCTGGGAAACTAGGAAAGTACTAATATACAATTAAATATTTTTGCAGGAATTATGGAAGATTTAGAAGATATGCGTATAGAAGCATTGGAGAAGAAGAGGAAAGAGGAAGAAAGAAGGGCTCTTTTAACAAGGAAGAAGATGAAGAAATAATAACATTAATTTGAATTTCTTTTTATTGATTCCTATTATTTAAAGAATATATCCATTTAAGAAATAATTACATTTTTCATTGTACGGATGACAGATGAGAAATTTATATAAATATAGATAAATAATATAAAGAGATATAGTCTCCGTGAAACTACGAATATATATTAATTGAAGCTATAAAGAGCCAAGCATGGATTATAATGCCATAATACGAGGACTGCTGATAAGTTAGTATTAAAAAGATTAAAGTCTAGTCAATCTTAACTAAATCAGATATCAAATGTTCCGGTTCTTACATTCGGACTTAGTCAAAAGAAGAAGCATTTATTGAGTTGTACCATTGAAAGGGGTCCGAATAATGATTTGATATATAATTTCATAAAAATTGACTTTTTTAATACGATCTTATTAGTTCTCGCCTTATGACATAACTTGGTCCTTTTAAATGACCCTAATTAGAGAAATTTATATTATTTATATCTTGATCACGTATATAAAATATTTGTCACAACACATACATCCGATAATATATAGATAGATCTCATCAAATTAAACAAATTGTCCTCAATTAATTAAAACAAATAAAAAATTTCATCTTAATCGGTCAAGTACCTTCACAATTCACTTCCCAAAAAAAACAATTAATTTTTAGACTTCTGAATGAGAAAGACCTCTTGAACGAGGAACAATACAACATTTCATAATATTAAGAATTGTCTATTTCATTGTGTTTTTTTCATATTACTTTCATGTTTTGTTAATATATGAAAGCTCAGAAAATGATAAAACTTATATGTAAAAACGTATTATAGCAATTCGATGTAATACTACTTTTACGTAATTACCATTTCAAAAATTTTATTATATGCCTATAATGTGATTGAGAGAACTTGAAAATCTCAAATTTCATGAAAATATAATGGAAAAATTAGTAATATGGTGAAATGTAAACTCAAACGGTGAATATAATTTGGATAAAATTTCAAGATTTTTTACTTCCAGTTACAATCCAATAATTATTTATGAAATGACCGATAATCAGATTCACACTTATTTTTGGAAGGATTT